TGACCATGCAACCTGTGGCATGCCTGCTATTTCTAAAGCTGTGAGTAGAGCAGCAGCATCCTCCAAGGTTGTTTTGCTCAGCATAAAATAACGAAAGTGGCATGGCTCACACCTCTCAAGTTTGCTGTCTTTCCTTTCTTCGCAATGATCCCTTGCATATTTGCAGTTGACCCCATCCCTATCTGTTTCTTGTAAGCATCCATGGACTTTGTTCTTGCATCCCCCCTTTCAAAAGCAGCTAAGTTTCTGTACAGTGTCCTCCAGGATATCTGTCTCTCGCATCCTCCTTCACATGACAGAGGTCCTAGTAGCCCAGGTTTTGTCGCTCTGGTGTGAAGCCCTTGCACAGTCTCACCACCCTGGGGGACAACGTGCCCTGAACACAAGTAGCTCATAATTGCTAGGTCTGGGTTTCTTTTTTTCTTCCCCCCCCCCGCCCCTCCCAATTTTTACCTTCCCTCATCTGTCCCAAGGGCTGTCTGAAACAGGGCTCTCTCTCCCCAGAAAACTGCAGGCAACCCTGGCAGATAGTTTTCCTGGGGTATTTTTGCTGACAGGTGATATGAGGTGCAACAGAGGATTGGAGATGAGGCGGCACACAGCAAGCACAGCTTGCCTGGGGACACGTGCAGTTTGTTTTCCCCATTGCAAATCTCAGGAGAGCCGAAATGTGGGTGCTGGGGGATCCCACAGCAGGGATGTCTGGGCGGTGCAGTGTGGGGCTGACTTGCTGCATAGGCAGACACAGCTGATGGCACAAGGGGCTGATGACTAGTACCCCACTGGAGCAAGAGCTGCCCAGGCCTGCTCAGGAAGAAGTGCTGTGCTGACAGGGACTCTTTCTCTCTTGGCAGATCCCCTCCGTGTCCTGGCAGGATGTTGGTGGGCTCCAGGAGGTGAAGAAGGAGATCCTGGACACTATCCAGTTGCCCCTGGAGCACCCGGAGCTGCTGTCATTGGGTCTGTGCCGCTCTGGTCTGCTGCTGTACGGGCCTCCAGGGACAGGGAAGACCTTGCTGGCAAAAGCCGTGGCAACCACGTGCACCATGACGTTCCTTAGGTGAAGAGTTGGGGGTCACACAGTGGGGCTGACTTTCTCCTGGCAGTGGATGGGCATGCTCTAAATGGCTCCCTCTTCTCCTGCCCCACAGCGTGAAAGGGCCAGAGCTCATCAACATGTATGTTGGGCAAAGCGAGGAGAACGTGCGTAACGGTGAGCAGATGCGTCCTGCTCCTGCATGTGGGAAGATGGGGCTTTTCTGTGGTGCTGGAGGCAAGGAGGTAGTGCTTAAACCCCTCTTCCCAACTCCCACCCACAGCTGCCAGCAAGGGCATGAACCCAACTGTCTCCTACACCCGGCCTGTTCCCTGCCTCGCTGCAGCTTCCCCTCCTGCTCTCTCAGCTCCTGCTGCTCTTGTCCCTGGTGTTCCTGATGGGACAGCAGCCCCTCAAAGACACAGCTGAGCCTAAGGGCCTGTCACGCTGTGTGCTGCCTGACCCCACTCCCATTGAGTCCCTCAGGCAGGAGCAGTTGGTGGTGGTGAGGCAGTGGGCAGCTGGTTTCCATCCACAGCTCTTCCCTGCTGGTGATGTAGCAGGTCCTGTTGCTGTTGACTGCTCCTCCAGGTCTTTCTCACCTTTTGTGCTGTCTCCTCCCAGTGTTTGCCAGAGCCAGGGCAGCTGCTCCCTGCATTATCTTCTTTGATGAACTGGATTCCCTGGCCCCCAGTCGTGGGCGGAGTGGTGATTCAGGGGGCGTCATGGACAGGTCAGTGAGCATCATGCATCCTTGGGAAAGCAGCATACCTGCCTCAGCTGGGGGGCTGCACAGGATTGCCCTGCGAGGCAGAGTCCATCCCAACTCTCTTTCTCTACCTTTTCCCTCCCTGCTCCCTTCAGCTCCACTGCATGGCCTGTCTGCTCTCTCTGGACATTAGTGCTGCTGTTTGCATTGCCACAGATTCCCCGATTGCCCAAGCTTGTTGTGCAAACATTTGGTTAAGACAGAGTCTCTTCCAGCTGCTTCTGTGGCTGCCAACTGCTCCCTTTGGCCTTTCCAAGGCCATCCTTCACAGACCTGCCATGCTCTCCTATTAGCTGCTGTTTCCCTGCGCTGGGAAACCTTTCAGCTGCCTCTGGTAGAAGCAAACTATGTACAGCTTGGAGATACCCAGAAACAGGGTTATTTCCCCCAGGCCTCTTCTGCTGAGCTGATAGTCCCCATCCAGTCTTCCTCTCCATCCACGAAGTGTTCTGCAGAGTTTTCCAGTGACACCATGTGCCCCCAGCATCCATCTTCACACACACAAACCAGCAGCTCTGGAAGGGTCTGGGTATGGTGCCCATTGGTTGCCTCAGGTGATCCCAGAACCAGACAGAGATATCCATGTTCCAGGAGGTCTGTGCAGCACTGAAGTACTGTGCTGCCAGACCAGCTTAAGCCCTGTGGCCGCAGAACTGGATCTGCAATGTTAACCATTCACCACCCTGAGGACTGGTTGGCAGCATCACTGGCCTGCCAGGGTGTCCCCAGCATGGACTGACAGGGCAGTCTTGCAGCTGAACTTGCTGAGCAGTGGCACACAGCGGGGAGGGCTAGGATCAGCCAGCACATCCGAGTGGGGAACCTGAGCCATAGCCACGCCCTGCCTGTTGGTCTGTGTGGCCAGTGTCTGATAGCAATTATAAGCACATGTGGCCATCCTGGAAGGGTTCAGAGCCAAGAACAGGCCTGAAGGACTCTCTTGGTACCAGGCGTTTGCACTCACTTTGCAATGAGCCCACATGCTCACTGGCTGTGCTCAGAGAAGTCTGGATGGCTGTGTGTCATGGTTTAGCCCCAGCCAGCAACTAAGCGCCACGCAGCTGCTCGTGCACTCCCCCTACCCTGATGGGATGGGGGAGAGAATCGGAGGAGTAAGAGTGAGAAAAACTCCTGGGTTGAGATAAGAACAGTTTAATAATTGAGGTAAAGTAAAATAGTAATGATAATAATATACAAAGCAGGTGATGCAAAATGCAAGTGCTCACCACCCGCCGACCAATACCCAGACAGTTCCCGAGCAGCGATCGCTGCTCCCCGGCCAACTCCCCCCAGTTTCTATACTGAGCATGACGTCATATGGTATGGAACAGCCCTTTGGCCAGTTTGGAGCAACTATTCTGGCTGTGCCCCCTCCCAGTTTCTTGTGCACATGGCAGAGCATGGGAAGCTGAGAAGTCCTTGACTAGCATAGGCAGCACTTAACACACTGATGTTTCAGTTGTTGCTATCAGCATTCTTCTCCTACTAAATCCAGAACACAGCACTATGCCCGCTACTAGGAAGAAAATTAACTCTATCCCAGCCAAAACCAGGACACTGTGTTAGGGCTCTTCAGAGAAGAGAAGTGTGAGCTGAAGTCCAAGACATAGACCTGCCAATGGCCTTGCTTATTCCTCTTCTCGTTTGGTGGCTGAGGGTGAGAGCAGGTGACTTGCCAAGGCCTAGTCGTGAGCATCCTGTCTTGCTCCCTGCAGAGTTGTCTCGCAGCTCCTGGCTGAGCTTGATGGCCTTCATTCCACCAGAGAGGTATTTGTCATTGGAGCTACGAACAGGCCTGACCTCCTGGACCCAGCTCTGCTCCGGCCAGGCAGGTATGTCGCATCATACCCTGCCTCAATCCAGGGTAGTTCCCTGGAGCCCGTCAGGCAGTGATGAGCTGGACTGTGTCCCCATCACGTTCCCTCCACAGAGGCTGTTCCTCAAGCCCCCCAGCCCTGGTTTGTGGGGCAGATAGGAAGCCAAGGGGAGGCCAGTGCCTATGGCTGTAACAGCAGCACAAGATACCACTGCTTGTTATCCCCCAGCACTCTGGTTGTCACCCCAGCAGCAGACCAGGGCAATAAGGGGCCTGCCCTTGCAGCAAACTGGCGGGAGGAATTGGTCCCCCAGGGCCGGTTCTGCAGAGCTGCCCCCCAGCCTGTCCTCATGCCTGCGGCTTGCCCATCCTAGGGCAGGACTTTGTATCTGCTGTTGGTGGACCTCACGTGGTTCCTGTCAGCCCATTTCTCCAGCCTGCCCTGGTCCCTGTGAAGAGCAGCCCTGCCCTCCAGCACATTGACTGCTTCCCCCTCAAGTTTTGTGTCATCCACAAACCTGGCAGCAAAAGGAGCTGCCCCAAGGCCACCCTTCAGTTTCCAGCGCACAGGGCTGAGCACCGGTGGCAGGTTTGTCTTGGCCTGTTCTCAGCTGCCTCTTCTCTGCTGACAGGTTTGACAAGCTGGTCTATGTGGGCATAAACGAAGACCGGGAGTCACAGCTGCAGGTGCTGAGCGCCGTCACCAGGAAGTGAGTGACCCTGTGCTCTCGCAGCAGCCTTCCACCACCCTCCAATGGGTCACAGCCTTCTTGGGGTTGATGCATAGCATGCTCCAGCTTGGCTTCATGTTTGAGCCCTGGGGAGCACCCGAGTCACTGACCCACAGCCAGCAGGTAGGGGAAGAGGATGGTGCAACTTCCAGAACCAGAACTGGGGCTGGTTTTCCTACAAGATGGGAGCAGCTCAGCTGGCTGTCCAAGTGGAGGGGTTGGTAGAGTTCTCCAGTCACTGTGCCCATATGATCTTTTTGAGGAGCTCAGCCAGATCCTAACAGTGTGATGGGACTGCAGCACACCAATATGGCAGGAAGCTCCCATTTGCTTCCTACAAGAGTTCCCCTAGCACATCTGCTGTTTCCAGGTCCAAGGGTGAAGGCAGCTCTGTTTGTCTCACTGCCTCTCCTCCTGCGATGCTGAGGGGTGTTCAGCCTGTGCTCTGTGTGTCTTTCCACACACTGGTTGTGTGGGATCACCAAGCAGTGGGGTTTGGCTGCTTCCCCAGCTGCTCTGAGCTCCTGAAAACATCTCTGGAGAGAGAAAAGCAAGCCCTGCAATTCAGGGTGAGCAGCTGCCGGGTGAGCAGCTGTGAATCTGCCTCTGCAGGGGCTTTCTGTCATGGATAGCTGTGATCGCTGCTGCCTTTGACAATAAGCTAGCAGGAGAGGTGAGAGCGTGGGCTGGCTGCGAGCATCTTTTCACACCATGTGACTTGGCAGTCATGCCCTCCAGCCAGGACCGTGCTGCTGTTCATGCTGAAGGAGGCTCGCTGTCTGCAGTGTGGCTCTGATGGGATCGTTTGGTGTTACAGTGGTTTGTGCTGTCTGTAATTAGATGTGTTCTTATCCAGCCCTGGCTGTAGGCTCTTCCCAAGCATGTGGAGCACTTAATTTCTGAGTGAGAACTCAAAGTTGCCTTTGATCCTACTTAGCAGGAGAGAGGACCTTGCTGTGGGGATGTTTCAAAGAGAAGTGACTGCATTGAAAAAACAAACCAACCATCCCCTTTGATTTTTTTGGAGCATGCAGAGCACAGTCCACAAGCGCCTAAACATGGGGCCTCTGATTCCTCTTGCCCAGTCACGCTGGCAGCCGCACCTCTCCCGGTCTGTTTTTCCTGTGGCTTTTAGACCTGTAGTTTTCTCTCTTGGCAGGTTTAAACTGGATCCTTCCGTGAATCTCACCACCATCCTAGAAAAATGCCCGGCTCAGCTGACGGGAGCAGACATCTATGCCCTGTGCTCAGATGCCATGATGTGTGCTGTCAAACGCAAGGTGGAATGGATCGAGGAAGGTAGGAGCCCAGCCCTTGCCTGTCCCACGTATTGGGATGGCCCAGCACAGGGGCAGAGAGGAGTTACCAATGCTGGTAACTGGGCTTTGTGAGAAGAGCCTCGATGGCTTTGGGACCACGTGTGAATGCTAGGCTCTGGGTTACTGGCAGGCAGGCAGTTTCTGTGGGTGTGATCATCTTCCCCTCCAATGCTTGGTTGGCCCCAGGGGGAAGGAGAGAGACACAGGTTTTCCTTCCAGTCTCTGGTGGCTGGAGAGGGGGTTGTTGGATCTTGCCAGCCGCCCCTGTGCTTGGCTCTCAGTCTTTTCCTGTTCCCTCTCATGCAGGGCTGGATACTGAGACCTCTGCTCTGATCCTGACCATGGAAGACTTCCTGCAGGCTGCTGTAAGGTTGCAGCCGTCAGTCTCTGAGCAGGAGCTGCTCAGGTACAGACTCATCCAGCAGAAGTTTGCTGCCTGCTAATGCTCAGCAGAGCTGGGACTGGAGGAGTGATGGGGACAGTGTGTTAAGGGGTGCAAGAGAACAGGCACAAACAGGCACCTACCTGCTTTTCTCTGATGTCTCCTGGACCCCCCCCTTTTTCAAGCTTGGGTGAAAAAGTGGCTGTGCAATTTCTTGAGCCAAAGCCTGGTGGAAGTGCTGCTCTGCTCAGCCAAGCTGGCGGTGGGTTCTCTAAGGGTCCCTTACATCTCGGTGAGCACTTTGTGGCTGCCAGGAGCACACTGGGGTGACTTCCCCACAGGGAGGAAGCCAAGTCTCATGGTTGTGGGCACTGCAGGAGTGTCTCCATGGGTGACAGACCATGGCTGGGGGAGCAAGGCCCAAACAGCACCCGGTTTGGCAGCAAGAGCGGGGCTGGAGGCAGTTGCTTGTTGGGGTGTCAGCCCCCAGTGAGGGGTGCTGGCTGGAGGGCAGCAGGACCCAGGGTACTGCTGCTGCAGCTGGCCTGGGCTCAACATGGTCTCTCTGAATAAATACAGGTTTTTGGCACTAGGTCTTCACTGCCTGGCCTCAGGTCTTTGCTTGCTGATGGTGTTGGTGGGCTCAGGAAGGTCCCTGCGAACCCCTGGCTGGGCTGGGTGTTGCAGAGAAACCAGTGTCCTGCAGGTGGAGGTGGGATCACACCTGCAAATGGGGCTGGGGGGTCACCCTCATCCAGCAAAGGTTGCCAGAATGGCTGGAGCCCATGGCGGATGAGGAGAGGCCAAGGGAGTGGGGTTTGCTCAGCTGGGAGCTGAGCTCCCTCTGCGGAGGGAGCTGAGTTCTTCCTGGAGGTGCTGGGTGACAGGACAAGAGGCAGTGGGGGCAAGTGGCAACAAGGGATACTAATTCCCACCGGATACTAGGAAAAACGTGTCACAGGGAGAGGGAGGACTCTGGCCTTGGAAATACCCAACCCTTGGCTGGAGCAGCCCAGAGCTGCCCTGTTTGCACTAACCTGGGCCGAGCGTGCGTTGGCCCAGACTCCCCCCTCCCCGAAGTCTTGTCTCATCTCCCTCTGCAGCCTCACGGCAGCTGCTGCCATGATTGGCTGTGGCCTCCTTACCAG